AGCCAGGTGTGGGATGAGGGAAGCCAGGAGCCAATAATTTCTTCTTGATTTCTCTTATGTGTGGCAGGACCCAAGTGCTTGGGCCATCTTCTGCTGCCTTCTCAGCTGTACTAACAGGGAGCTAGATCAGAAGCAGAGCAGTTGGGACTCAAATTGGCACTGTGATATGGGATACAGTTGTGGGGAGCAACTCAGACTAGACTAAGTTACTGGAATTAAGACTTATTCTATGCATCTGCTCTCCCACAATATGGCGCTGGGAGAGGAGTAAACAGCTTCTACACAGCTGCCTCCAGTTTGACCAGTAACCTGCAGAAGCTGATCCTGCTCCTGATTGGAGGAGAGCAGCGTACTCGGCGTGTGGGTAGCAGAGTTGGGATTGGTGGAAGAGGACCATAAAGGAGGAGAGAGACAACATGCACCGGGAAACATCTAAAGGGAACACCTGTGCAGCCCCTGAGAGAGCCGGCCGGCCGGCGGTGTGCCGCTCCCCTGCGGAAGTGGGGAAAGTGGCAGGGGGAACCGCCCTTCCACGGAGGTGGAAGGGATGGTAGCCAACCCGGGGAGGGCCGAGCAGACAAAAGAACAGCACAGGGTCCTGTGTCGTTCCTCCGCGAAGAGGGGGAGCGACATACAGTCTTTGCAAATAGCAACTTAACCAGCTGAGCCACAACACAGGTCCCAGTATTGGCTATTTTTGTGTTTATAGTTAAATTAAAATTCTGAAAAACTTTTAACCACTGCCATTCCCAATCATCAATACTTGATAACACCCAATTACATAAATGCTACATTTGAGGGCTCTAAAGGGAGCCACTTTCGATACCATCCTTTAAGAAATTTCTCCAGGGATGAACATTTGGTGCAGTAATTAAGAAGTCACTTGGGTTTCATCCCATATCAGAGTGCCTAATTTCACATCCCAGATCCATTTCTTTTTTTTTTTTTTTTTTTTGACAGGCAGAGTGGACAGTGAGAGAGAGACAGAGAGAGAAAGGTCTTCCTTTGCCGTTGGTTCACCCTCCAATGGCCGCCGCTGCAGCCGGCGCACCGCGCTGATCCTGGCAGGAGCCAGGATCCAGGTGCTTTTCCTGGTCTCCCATGGGGTGCAGGGCCCAAGCACCTGGGCCATCCTCCACTGCACTCCCTGGCCATAGCAGAGAGCTGGCCTGGAAGAGGGGCGACCGGGACAGAATCCGGCGCCCCAACCGGGACTAGAACCCGGTGTGCCGGCGCCGCAAGGTGGAGGATTAGCCTATTGAGCCACGGCGCCGGCTTCCCAGATCCATTTCTAATTCTAGCTTCCTGCTAATGAACACTCTGGGAGGCAGCAAATGATAGCTCAAGTTCTTAAGTTCCTGCCTCACATGTGAGAGATCAGGATTGAGTTCCAGGCTCCTGGCTTCATCCTGCCTCAGCCCTAGCTGTTGTGGGCATTTGGGAAGTGAGCCAGAGATGTAGGATGTCTCTCTCCCTCTCTCTCAGTCACTCTGCCTTTCAAATAAATAAATAAAATTGAAACATAAAATGGTTTGTAGCTTTTTTTGTTTATTAAAGATTATTTATTTATTTATTTGAGAGGTAGAGCTACAGATAGAGGGAGAGAGAGAGGTCTTCCATCTGCTGGTTCACTCCCCAAATGGCTGCAAGGGCTGGAGCTGGGCCAATCCGAAGCCAGGAGCCAGGAGCTTCTTCCGGGTCTCCCATGTGGGTGCAGGGGCCCAAGGACTTGGGCCATCTTCTACTGCTTTCCCAGGCCATAGCAGAGAGCTGGATGGGAAGAGGAGCAACCGGGACTAAAACCGGTGTCCATAAGGGATGCTGGCACTGCAGGCGAAGGATTAACCTACTATACCATGTCCCAAGTAGCTTTTATTATTATTATTATTTTTATCAAGTTACAGCTTTAAGAGGTCAGTTGTTGGGGCCATTGCTGTGGCGCAGTAGGATAATCCTCCGCTTGTGGAGGCCGGCATCACATATGGATGCTGGTTCTAGTCCCGGCTGCTCCTCTTCCCATCCAGCTCTCTGCTATGGCTGGGAAAGCAGTGGAAGATGGCCCAAGTCCTTGGGCCCCTGCACCCGCGTGGGAGACCCGGAAGAAGCTCCTGGCTCCTGGCTTCAGATCAGTGCAGCTCCAGCCGTATCAGCCATTTGGGGAGTGAAGCAGCAGACGGAAGACCTTTCTCTGTGTCTCTCCCTCTCAAATAAATAAATAAAATTCTAAAATTCTAAACACACACACACACACACACACACACACACAAATGTCCATAGTCCCTGAAGGCTTGGTAACAGAGAAAGCAGCTTGCAGCTTTCTGTCTCCTGCCTGCCCCCTGTCTTTCTGAGAGGGAACTAGCATTGGTGTTGGCACCAGCCCGCTGGGGGACCACAGAACACATAGACCTGAGTTTTTGAAGTAGGCATCCCCACCACAAGCCCACCAGCATGCTACATTCGCTAAAATACCCCTTCAGGGCTGGGAAGGGGGTTCTCATGCAGAAAATCTGCTACGCTGAGAGTGGAGAAAGGAACTGAGGAGATAAACCAGAAATCAGGTCTGCTTGGGCAGCTCTGCCTGGCGCCCAGTGACAGCTCTGCCTTCTGTGACTGGAGCCCGCTCTGCTTTTCTGCCTTGGACCTCCTCCAGCAGGAGCCATGGAGGAGGTGGCACTATGGGTCTCTTCACTTCCGTCCTGCACTTGTGATTGCAGTGGACAGCACAATCTGGGCCGCGCATACCCGTAGTGGGGCTCCTCTTCAGGGGCTGCGGTTTTCATTCAATGAACTCCACTGCTGTGTGAAAGAGCTGTTGCCCAAGTTATCTCAAGTCTGGTTATTAGGACCTCAGAGCTTCGTGTTTGCCTGATGGACAGACACAGGGAGCGGTGTTCTCAGTCCCGTGGCCCTCAGGGTTTGTAGCTAAGAAAAAGAGCAGAGGCTGCTGCTGTGGCTTAGTAGGCTAAACCTCGGCCTGTGGTGCCGGCATCCCATATGGGCGCTGGTTCATGTCCTGGCTGCTCCTCTTCTGATCCAGCTCCCTGCTAACGGCCTGGGAAAGCAGTGGAAGGTGGCCCAAGCGCTAGGGTCCCTGCCACCCATGTGGGAGACCTGGAAGAAGCTCCTGGCTCCTGGCTTCGGATCAGCTCAGCTCCAGCTGGGGCCATGTTGGGGGTGAATCAGCGGACGGAAGACCTCTTTCTCTCTATCCCTCTGTGACTCTGCTTCTCAAATAAACAAATAAAAATCTCAAAAAAGAATAGAAAAAGAGCAACATAGCCTCCCACCCCCAGCAAGCCCGTTTTGATTATCATGAAGGGTACAGCTCAACAAAGGGAGAACCACACCTGACCACCAGGAGTTAATCATTTGCATTGTAATCAATCTAAAGCAGCATCCTTTGATAATCAAATGACAATAATTTGCAGATCACTGTCTCCAGTGGAGTGCCTGCCCCACCTCACCCCTCAATCAGAGGCTTGGCAGCGAGCAAGAAAGGAATTTTACCACTGATTAATGGCGTGTTTAACTCTTCTGTGTCTTTCCTGCCGCTGTGCTGCAGCGTGCGTCTGCGCCTCATCCACTCAAACCACCTTATGAAAACGAGCACTGACCACAGGACTCAGTGAGGTCTCATTTGTGTTCACAAATCCTGCAGATGGATATCAACAGCCCCAGAGGGAGGGCAGATCAGCTGGCAATCACAGAAACACAGCTGCAAAGAGTCCAGTGAGAATGATTGTGCTAACCCATCTTGTGTATTTCTGTAGGGAGGCTTTCACCTTGAGCATGGTTGTGGCCATTGATGGGTTTAGGCAAATACGGCTTGCTCTGGGAAATTAGTAGGCAAATTCTCTTAGAGCCTAAGAACAATACACAACAGTCATACTGAACTTAATTAAGCAAGAAGACCCAGTCGTTGTAGGGACGCGGGACCCCAAGAACAGAACTAGGACCCAACCTCTGGGAAGTTTGTCTTGAATACTGAATGGAAATGGACCAAGCGCTAGACACAGGGGGCTATTGGTGACTACAAAACCATGATTTTCAATACACATAGTAACATGCTGGCTGCTGGCTTCCCTAATGTTTCAGTGCCTGCACCTCAAATCCACCCTACCTAAAAGGCAGGTTTGGGGAGCCCTGGATGGAGACACAATTTTGCCTTACTATCATCTCAATGGGAGAGGGAAAACCAACCCACGGCTTTAGCAGAGCCTCTCCCCATCCTGGCGAAGGGCTCAGTGTGGGCAATCAGTTTAGCACACCAGCAGAGAGTCAGCTAGCCAGATGTGGCCTGACCCTTACTCCCAGTGCAGCAGGTGGCAGGAGCGTCACGTTCACATGGTTCCTCCTGGCTGTCAAGTCCTGCTTCTGGCTCCTGGGCACACGGTGATTTGTGAACCTAAGAGACATCTTTCTTAGAAGGGTCTGCTGGCCGGTGCCACGGCTCAATAGGCTAATTCTCCGCCTGCAGTGCCGGTACACTGGGTTCTAGTCCCGGTCGGTGTCCCGGTTGCTCCTCTTCCAGGCCAGCTCTCTGCTATGGCCCGGGAGTGCAGTGGAGGATGGCCCAAGTGCTTGGCCCCTGCACCCACATGGGAGACCAGGAGAAGCACCGCAGTGCGCTGGCTGCAGCGGCCATTGGAGGGTGAACCAACGGCAAAGGAAGACCTTTCTCTCTGTCTCTCTCTCTCACTGTCCACTCTGCCTGTCAAAAAAAAAAAAAAAAAAAAAAAAAAAAAAAAAGGGTCCGCTGATGAACCTGCTTTTCTTCTTCCCAGATTTTAAAAGAGCCCTTCAGAAAGTTCATGAAAAAGTAGGATTAAAAAAGTTCATTTTGGATCAAAGTGATTTAGAATTCCACCCTATTCCCCCTAATTTAAATAGACAGCATACCACGTACCACATTTGGAGGTAACAGTACTTCAAAGACAGGGGTGAATATCTTCATGACCTTGTGGTAGGTAAAGGTTCTTAACAGAACACAAAACACTCACCAGGGCTGGCGTTGTGGTATAGTTGGTAAAGTCACTGCCTGTGGATGCTGGCACCACATATATATGTCAGTTCGAGTCCTGGCTGTTCCACTTCCAATACAGCTCCCTGCTAACATGCCTGGAAAAGCAGTGGAGAAAGGCACGAGTTTTTGGGCTTCTGCCACCCATGTGGGAGACCAGGAAGAAGCTCCTGGCTTCAGTCTGATCCAGACTTGGCTGTTGCAGCCACTTGGGGAGTAGAAAGAAAATCTCTCTCTCTCTCTCTCTCTTTCTCTCTCTGTAACTCTGTCTTTCAAATAAATAAATACTTACAAATAAATATATAAAATTAAAATAAAAAATAAACTAAGTTACAGGCCAGTGCCGCAGCTCAATAGGCTAATCCTCCACCTGTGGCACCGGCACACCGGGTTCTAGTCCCGGTTGGGATGCCGGATTCTGTCCCGGTTGCTCCTCTTCCAGGCTAGTTCTCTGCTGTGGCCCGGGAAGGCAGTGGAGGATGGCCCAAGTGCTTGGGCCCTGCACCCCATGGGAGACCAGGAGAAGCACCTGGATCCTGGCTTCAGATCAGTGTGGTGCGCCGGCTGCAGCACACCGGCCGCATTGGCCATTGGAGGGTGAACCAATGGAAAAGGAAGACCTTTCTCTCTGTCTCTCTCTCACTGTCCACTCTGCCTGTCAAAAAAATAAAATAAAATAAACCAAGTTACAGAAGAATGACTATGATTTTAAAAAAATAAAGAAAAAATACATTTAGTTACATGAAATTTAAAGCATCTGTTCATCAAAAGGCAAGAGCATGAGAAAGCAAGACTCAGGTTAGAATAATGTATTTACAACATATTTATTTTAAAAAGGACTAGTAGTAAGAATACATACAGAATCCTATAAATTAAAAGTATCATAAAGTAAAAGCCTGAGGAGAAATGACATGTATTTATACTGCTTTATTAAATATTTATTAACTGCAAACAGGAAAAAACAGTAACTTTACAGCAGCAACACTACCTTAACCAAGTGATGCAAGTTAGCAATGACCACTGACGAGAACCATTCCAATCACGTCCCTCCTGGCAGCATTCACCAAGAAGAGCATGGTATCACTTCTTGCAAAGATACATAACCTGAATTTAATAATCTTTGAAGTTTATTTACTTGAAAGGCAGATGACACAAGAGAAAGAGAGAGAGCCAGAGAGATCTTCCATCTGCTGGCTCACTTCCCAATACCCAAAATAGCTAGTTTGGTCCAGGACAAAAACAGGAACCCAGAACTCCATTCAGGTCTACCACACGGGTGGCAGGGACCCAAGCACTTGTGCCATCACATGCTGCCTCCCACTGTGTGCATTAGTAGGACACTGGATTGGAAACAGTAGGGACTCAAACAGGCACCCTGGTATGGAATGCAGGCATTCTAAGTAGTGTCTTAACCTTTCTGCCACAGCGCCTGTCCCTAAATTCAATCGGAGAGTGTACCTTACACTAATAAAGATTCAGGAAATTTTACAAAATCACGGACCAGTACTCTTCCAAAGTGTTAATATACTGAAGCAAAAAGTCTCAGGAATAATCTCAGGGCAATGGAGGTTCAAGGGCGTGACAACTGAATACAATGTGTGACCCTGGATTGAACCCTGGTCCAGAAAAAGCCATTAGTGAGAAACGTAATGAAATTTTAGTAAATCTGAGACAAGTACCAATGTTAAGGTTTCTTATTTTGATAATCAGCTACAGCTGTGTAAGATATCAAACTATCAAGTTGTATGAAGGAAATTGGGATTTTTTGGCATTGTTTCTGCTAAAGTCTCAAGTTATTTAAAAATTAAAAGAAAAATCAGATTTTTTTGTTTAATGCCTATTCACATATTTTGCAGAAAATTCACAAAAGGCTTGAACAGTTTGCAAAGAAGATATACAAATATCCAATGTGACAATGCTCAACTTTATTAGTCATCAAAGAAATGCAAATGAAGCCCTGGTGAGATCCCACTGCATACAGCAGAATGAAAGAAAAGATGAGTTACACCAAATGTCACATTGAAGCAAATGTTACTCTTACACACTGCTGGTGGGAGCAAAAGTTGCCACAACTATGTTGGGAAACAGTGTGGCAGCATCACTTCAAGCTGAACAAATGTGTTCCTTATGACCCAGCAATGTATCCTTAATGTTCAAAAGATCTTTCCAGGGCAGGCATTTGGCCCAGCAGTTAAGACACCTCTTGGGATACCTGCACACCACATCACAGTGCCTGGGTTCAAGTTCTGGTTTTGCTCTCAATTCCAGTTTCCTGCTAATGTACACTCTTGGAGGTAGCAGGTCAAGTTGAAGTAGTTGGGTCCCTGCCACCCACACGGGAAACCAGACTGAGTTCCCTGTGAATTCTGGCTTCGGCTGGGCCCAGTCCTGGCCATTGTGAGCATTTGAGGGTGGGAGCTGTCTCTGTTTCTCTGTCTCTTTGTCTCTCTCCACCCCCCCCACCCCTTTTTTTTTGACAGGCAGAGTTAGACAGTGAGAGAGAGAGAGAGAGAGAAAGGTCTTCCCTCCCTTGGTTCACCCCCCAAATGGCCACTACGGCCAGCGTGCCGCGCTGATCCGAAGCCAGGAGTCAGGTGCTCCTCCTGGTCTCCCATGTGGGTACAGGCCCCAAGCACTTGGGCCATCCTCCACACACTCTCGGGCCACAGCAGAGAACTGGACTGGAAGAGGAGCAACCAGGACAGAATCCGGTGCCCTGACCAGGACTAGAACCCTGGGTGCCTAGTGAGCCATGGTGGCGCCGGCTCTCTCCCTCTTTCAAATAGACTTTTTTTTCTTTTAAAAAATAAAAGATATTTTTGGGGGACTCCGGATTCTGTCCCGGTTGCCCCTCTTCCAGGCCAGCTCTCTGCTGTGGCCTGGGAGTGCAGTGGAGGATGGCCCAAGTGCTTGGGCCCTGCACCCCATGGGAGACCAGGAGAAGCACCTGGCTCCTGCCTTCGGATCAGTGCGGTGCGCCGGCTGCAGCGGCCATTGGAGGGTGAACCAACAGCAAAGGAAGACCTTTCTCTCTCTGTCTCTCTCTCTGACTGTCCACTCTGCCTGTCAAAAAAATTTAAAAAAAAAAAAGACATTTTCTAAATTTTTACAGCAGCATTATATGTAATACCAACAAGTGGAAACAATTTATGTGTCCATCTGTAGTGAAATTAAGAAGTAAATTATGGTTCTATCCAGCAGGAGAAATATCAGACTACAAGTATATACAACAACGTATATGCAGGTCTGTCTCAAATAAAGCGCTGAGATGATGACAACCACATATAGATCTGTTCCTCTCGCATGGCTCTGTTTATGGAAAATTCAAAATCAGGTGAAGTTCATCTGCTTAAAAAACTTTTATTCTATGAACTTTGTGAAACACTCTTAAACAAATCACCTGGATTTTTTTAGTGTATTTATTTTATAATTTATAATTTATTTATTTGAAAGGCAAAGTGACAGTGAGAGAGAGTAGTTCCATCTACTGGTTCACTCTCCAAATGCCCACAAGAGCCAGGGCTGGGCCGGGCTCAAGCAGAAGCCTGGAACTTCATCTAGGTCTCTCCACCTGGGTGGCAGGGACCCAAGTATTGGTGTCACCATCTGCTTCCTCCTAGCCTGTGCGTTAGCAGGAAGCTGGATAGGAAGCAAAGCAAATCACTGCATTTGTCCAGCACAGTATAAAGGCACAGCCATTGCAAGCTGATGAATGAACCCTCTCCTGGGCTGAAGCATGGTTCTTCAGGAAAGGTTGCTTTCAAAATAAATAATTGGGACTGGCACTGTTGGGTAGCGGGTAAAGCTGCTGCCTGCAGTGCCGGCATCCCATTTGGGTGCTGGTTCAAGTCCTGGCTGCTCCACTTCTGATCCAGCTCTCTGCTATGGACTGGGAAAGTAGTAGAAGAAGGCCCAAGTCCTTGGGCCCCTGCACCAGCATGGAAGACCTGGAATTGGATCGGTGCAGTTCCAGCCATTGCAGTCAATTGGGGAGTGAACCAGTGGATGGAAGACCTTTCTCTCTCTCTCTCTCTCTCTCTCACTCTTTACCTCTCTTCTCTCTGTGTAACTCTGACTTTCAAATAAATACATAAATCTTTAGAAATAAATAAATAATTGTCCCACTGAACAGTTTTGATATATTTGAAAAGATTTATTTGAAAGTCAGAGTTACAGAGAGGGACACACACACACACACACACAGGTCTTCCATCCACTGGTTCACTCCCCAAATGGCTGCAACAGCCAGCACTAAGCCAGGCCAAAGCCAGGAGCCAAAAGCTTCATTCAGGTCTCCCACGTGGGTGCAGGGACCAAAGCACTTGTGCCATCTTCTACTGCTTTTCCAAAGCGGATTAGCAGAGAGTTGGATGGGAAGTGGAGCAGCAGGACATAAACTGATGCCCATATGGGATGCTGGTACTGCAGGCAGTGACTTTACCAGCTATGCCACAATGCCAGCCCCAAGTTTTGAAAATTTTCTTAGCTGCAGACCAGCAACTGTATGGAAAAAGAACATCACAAGAGCCAAATCATGAAGTAGTCACTCAACATATTTTAGAGCATTTCCTACATTTACAAATGTGGAAGAAAATCATTTTACTAAAATGCAAGGTAAAATGAGCTGGTTCTTGGGGGTGGTGCTGTGGCATAGTGGGCTAAGCCTCCACCTGCAGTACCGACATCCCAAATGGGCACTGGTTCAAGACCTGGCTGCTCCTCTTCTGATCCAGCTCTCTGCTATGGCCGAAGCAGTGGAAAATGGCCTAAATGCTTGGGCCTCTGTACCCACAAGAGAGACCCCGATGATGCTTCTAGCTCCTGGCTTCGGATTGGCTCAGCTCCAGCCATTGTGGCTATTTGGGGAGTAAACCAGCAGATGGAAGACCTTTCTCTCTGTCTCTCCCTCTCTCTGTCTATAACTCTACCTCTTAAATAAATAAAATCGTTTAAAAAAATGAGCTGTTTCTTTAAAATGCCCTTTTTTCAAAGTATACAACTGCTGATTTTACCAGCAAAAGGCACAACACAAAGCCACAAATAACTTAGGGTTGGAATTAGCCTCTTGTCAGGCACTTAGTCCTAAGGCCATTGCTCA